TTATTATTATTATTTTGTTTGACAGGGTCGAAACAGCCCGCCTCCTACATGATCTTCTAAACTTTGTTAATTTAGGCGTAAAACATTAAGATTTTTTAACAAATACAGTCAAACCTGTTCCAAAGGCCACCTGTCCAAAACAATCACTCTCTCATATACCCACGTCCCACTTCCACACTTGCTTTTTCAAAACCGCTTCCTTGTAGCATTGCCCGAAAACACCCATGGTGGGTGGTTGGCAGGTGCTCTGGTTTTGGTTGGGTCTTTCTTTCTTATCAAACAGCGGTCGTCTTCATCTCTCCTCCCTGTGGGTGGACGACGGGAGCTTCTGATGTGGTTTGCTCCTCCTTTCCTATTAATCATTTGTCGTTCTTATCTCTCATCCTTCTTTCCTATCAAACATCTATCGTCCTATTCTCCCTTCCTTCTTTTTGCGTTTGTTACTCTTTTGTAACGCTTCTAATTTTCCACACATAATAATATGACAAAACTGTGTTGCAAATTCCGTAAAACAATTACTAGAAAAGGACATCCATGTAAAACAATAATATCACTACTGAACAACGGGTGCTTGTCTTGCGCATTTTCTTTTATACGCGTTACTTGTGTGCCCAGCCTCCCCCCCCCCCCCCCCACCAACGTGGTGGTCGTCTTGTACAGATTCTCTCGACCATATTGCATGTTCACCACCTCCCACCGCAACATGTGGTCGTCTTAAAGAGTTTCGCTTGTACGAGGGGCATACAAAACGTTTTTTACCAGACCATGAAGGAATGGAAGTAGAAAGCTGAAAGTTGGTACTAAGCTTAGTCTTTCTCTGTGTAGTCGTCTCCCACAGATACACATTTTTGCAATCAGTGTGTGACCTTGAAAAGACCTTGACAATAGAGGACCCTCTCTATGTCAGGAAATCAGCCCGCTACCGCTTCTCTGACGTCATCATCCCTTTCAAAATGCTTTCTTTTTAAATCCTTTTTTAGCTTGGAAAATAAAAAAGTCAGACGGGACTAAATCTGGAGAATAGAATGAATGTGGCGTTGGTGGCCTTGTGGTTAAGCTACCGGACTCGTAATCGCGAGGTTGCGGGGCCAGGGGTTCGAGCCGCGGGCCCGACGTTGTGTCCTTGGGAAAGACTCTTTACATGAATTTTCCTCACTTCTTCCAGGTGGAAATGGATACCCAGCCATAGACAGGGAAAGATCTTGACATTATGTTAAAACTTTAGCGCCTATAAATGGCTGCTTGCACTGCATGCTTCCCACGAAGTTGAGTGTGTTTCAGAATGCTCTCAGGTCTGCGGGGGTAATAGTATAGATTGTGAAGCACATAGAGCTTGCTGTTGAGCGGAGATTTGCGCTATACCAATGCTATCTATCTATTATTATTATTATTATGTAGCAAAATTTCAGAGCCATTTTCTCACGCAATTTTTGCAGCTTTTCTTGAAGTGTGTGCTGGCGCGTTGTCGTGAAGCAGCAAAATTCCTTTTCTGATCTTTCCTCTGCCTTTTTCTTTTATAGCCTCTCATAATTATTTTAGCTGGTTAGAATAATGGTCTTCGGTGATCATATATCCATTTTCAAAACAGTCTGTCATAATGCCTTCTTTTCGGTCCCGAAAAACCTGATCACATCATGTTTCCTCTTGTTAGTTGCACCTTTGCCTTCTTTGGTGTTGGAGGCGAGGGTGATTTCCACTTCGTTGATGCAGATTTTAACTCAGGATCGTAGTGGTGGACTCAAGTCTCATCTATAGTTACAAATATTTTTACAAATTTAGTTTCACCCTTTTCATACAGGCCAAGTAATTCGTGACAATAATCCACACGTTGCACTTTTTGAGGAGGAGTCAACAATTTCGCATAAACCTTGGTCAGATTCAAATGTTTATTAAAGGTTCGTTGAACTGATCCAATGCTGAGCCTACTTTCTTTGCTCAAAGGTTTGACTGTCACCCGCCGTCAAAGACAGAACAATTTTTATGATTTTCAACACATTCTCCTCTGTTGTTGGTGTCAGTGGGTGACCATCTTCAATGTCCACGAATCTGCATTTGATTTTTTACACCAAAATTTCATCACAGCATAGGATGGGCAATCAGTTCCATATGCGGCATGCATCTTCGTTAAACTATCCTGTTGTTGCTTGCCTTGCAAGACAAAAAACTTCATTATCGCCCTGTGCTCATTTTTCTTCATTTTTATGTTGAAACTAGAGAACAATATACTCCATTCACTTAAAGTGCGCTGGTGGTAAAACCGGTTATCGGAAATCCACCAAAACTAACATGCATTCTAGGAAGATGATTGTCGGCTTTCACCTCAAATTTCCAAATTTCAGTTCTGCCTCTTTTTTTCTATGGTCAGGAAAAAAAAGCTCTTGGTATGCCCCTCGTATATGTTGCCTGTGTCCACCACCCCACCCTTCACCTCAACGGGTAGTAGTCTTGAACAGTTTCTCCTGTTCATGTTGCATCGCCCACCCCCCACCAAAACGGGTGGTCGTCTTGCACCGTTTCTCTTAAACATGCCACTCGTTTGGCCAGCCCATCCCCCCCACCCCACCC